GCAGTTATCCCTGCCCTCCACTCACTGCACACTAATAGCAACCCTTCCCCACCCAGTTATGGCCATCAAAATTGTCCTCAGATACTGCCAAATGTCCCTAGAGGGCAAAATCACCTCTAGCTGAGAACTACTGATTTATAAAGTAATTACATTTTATAATGAAAAGATCTAAGCTTTATCAATTTAGCTCCAAAGACACCTCTTACAAAGATTCATTTCTTACTAACCATAAACATATAATCTGTTAATAATCATATTGGAAAGGATTACCATGGTTTTCTCTCTTCCCTCAGCCAGTTTCCTCTTCTTATGTATGTGTTTATTACGATCAATTTCTATATCACCGTACACATTGGATACATCTTCCAGAAGAACCAGTGGAACTTGGCTTGGGGCATTAGGACCTATGGGTGTGGGGGGAATATCAACACTTAAACATGAAGCAAGGAAAAGAATACTTAGTATCATATAGAGGCTTACTCAACTTTTATGTGAAAATATAGGTCATTTAAAAATATGTTTAGTGTGACCCCTAATTAGAAAAACAAGTATGTATGTAGAGAAAAAAAGGCTGTACAGATATACATTACAAATCTAAGTCCATTTTTTGTGTTTGTTCTTATGTGTCAAGATTTTTTAATAATTATCAAGAATCACAAAATTACCAAAAAAAAGGCTACAAAATTACATGTATATTATGGTTGCAAATTCCAAACATATGTAACATATGAAAAGACTATAAAGCAACATACAAAAGTGAGAGACAGCTGTGTTATACTAGAAAAATTATGGGAGATTTTACATTTTTATTTTTCTATTATTCACATCTTCTAGAAAATTCTAAAAGATAATATATATCATTATAAAAGTATATATTAAATATATACAGGCATATATATTATACATGAATGCATATGTATATACATACATGTATATATATATATATATCCACGCATATATATTATTTAATAAAATCTTTGTCTACTGTAAAGTCTTTGTGAAATCTATTTCAATACTTTGCTTCATCTGCTGCATTCAATACCTGTATTTAGTTTTATAGTACCACTACCTCCTTTGACATAGAGACTTTTAATGAAAATGTACTTACATAAAAACCAACAATAACTAAGAAAAGCACTGGCATCACCCCGCAATTATCTGGATCCAAGAACAATGTTAAGGTGAGCGTTTCCATCGTCCTTGCCACCCCTGCTGAGGCCAGTACTTTGGGACACTCTGCAACTCCCAAACCAACCTTGGAAGAGAGATGGCTGTATGCTGTTGACATACTGGAATGCGTTCTTAAAGAAGACCAACATAGTGGAATAGACCACCTGGTTTTTGTATTTTGCATGAGCTTCATTATCGAAGTTGTTCATGTATCTGCAGAGATCCTTCATTCTATGCAAGATGTCACCATAGCTTCTGAAAGATGAAGAACGATAAAGGTTATTTCATTACTCTGGGCCTGCCAGCAAAAGGTCTAGAGAAAATGCCCCAGTGGAACCACTGCATTTACCAAATGTAGCTTTAGGCATGTACAGCTATTCTGTATTGTCTGCACATGGATTGGAATTCTCCTTCTGAATTACAGCAGCAACCAGACCAAGACTTTATGACATAAACCTGCCAAGTGGTTTCTCTTTCCTCTGAAGAATAAAGAGTGCTTTAAACTCAACATCATCTTAAGACTTTGTATTTCTGTTGGAAATCTCTCAATAAAGTGCAAAACTACCCTCTTTTGCATAAATATTGCATGTTACAGAATTTGCCCAAAGAAATGCTTTGGGGAAAAAAAAGTGTTTTTGTTTCTTACGGTCTGGAGATTATGCTATCAAAGATTTGTTAGACAATTCTAGAAATTGACAATGTTTTACCGTCTTCCTTTATCCATCTGCCATTCACATCTCATTCCAACAACATTCAGAATCTTAAACAACCTCTCCCAAGGGTCCACAATCTGGGACGATTTTTCAGTCAGTCCTTCTATGATATACTTCTGAGAGCTACGTTTGCTAGGTGACAATAAATCAGATGTTTCTTGGGTACCTGACATGTGAGAAAAGAAAAAAAAAAAAACAGCCTGTGATTAACATTACTACTTCACTATGCATGTGGCACCTGCTAGAGAAAAAGGAAGTCTCACTCCACATTCAAAAAGTTGGTGCACCGAATCTCAACACGTTATGTACTTCGTTTAAGGACCCACAACTGGCCATTCCCATAGTAGGGAATGACTTTTGAACTAGGATATATGTATAAAGCTCAGTGTACTAACGCCACAGTTCAGCAAATGGACCGTTTTGATTAAGGGGTAAAATTGGTTCCAGGAAAGTCTCACATCTTAACTGCAGTATTTTTTTTTCTAGAAACCATCTTTAAGAAGCGCTATCAAACTGGTATGTATCCAGAGGAGAATAATCAGAATGAGAAGGGATTTCTGGCTTTGCAATTTTACCAAAGTCTGTCTGAACAACTTTAAGACATTCTCACTTACCTTGATGCTGATTCTCTATTTGAGTGGACCTGGTGACATAATTAATATAAAATTCAGCTGCTTTGTTCAAGTACTTGTACAATAGATTGGCAGGCAATCGAACATCATGGTTGTTGATTATTAAAGGAAGGACATCACAAACTGTTGAAGAGAAAAATCAGAAAAAAACCCGATTAAGTTGTCTGTCTATCCTAGGGTTCTGATGAAAACAAAATTTATTTGAGTTCACTTACTGCAGTACCTAAAATGCATAGGGGGAAAAAAACCCTTAAGGCACGATTATGTGAACATTGCAGTACAGAGGCACACGAGTGGATGAAGTCAGACAGGAAACACAGGCAGGTTCTACACTGTGGGTAAAGGTCTAGTGAGGCGATTTTCAACCCATGTGCCACAAGAATGTTTAAAACACGCGGCACCGGACTGCTCAGTTAGGGGCCCTGACCTCTTTTCCCTTTAGACTGTCAAACAGAAAAATGACAACAGCCAACACAACAACAGCTGTTCGGTGTGAATGAACCAAAATTGTACCTATTTTAAAAAATCAGGTCGGCAAGAAATATACTTTTGGTGTGCTACAGAATTTCAGTAATTAGATTATGCATGCCATGAGATGAAAAAGGTCAAAAATTGTTGGTCTAGTTCTTACACTGGACGGTGATTCGGATATTTGTTTGCTATTAAGCTTTATATTTACCTACACAGTCAAACATACACTTTTGGAGATATCAAACATTACATAATAAAAATTTAGAAGCTGTTTAAAATGCTTTCTGGACTGAGAAAATAAATAAAGATTTAAATCCCATAACATGAAAAGTTGGTTTGCTTCCTACAACTGGCTTGACTTCTGAAACGATGCGCACCCCAGAGTATTCTACTCACCAGAAGGAATTAATACAAAATACAATTTTCCTCACCAAATAATTTCCTAAAGCAGTTAACAGGAGAGTCTTGTTCTTCTATAGTTTCCGCCTCTAGCAGCGCCTCCCCAAGGCCAACCTGTTTCAAAACACATTTAATCGTTTAAATGCGTTACAGTTTAAGATGCCAGAATTATATTTAAAAAAAAAAAAACAGTGTATTTTTAAATTTACTACATAGTTTGCTATTCAAGCTTCCCCCCAAAATAAATATTCTCACTTTAAAAAATAGAAAACAAAAGAACATCAGCAACACAGTCTCTCAGAAGGGAACCCCAAATTTACCTGACCACAGACCATTTTGAGTTACTTTCCTCTGAACTGGTACAATTAAAACACTGACAAAATGTGTAAGAGACTTAAAGCATGTGCTAGAACTAGAGTTACAATAATAGAGAAATAGAGATTTTTAAAGAAATGTGGAAACTAACTTTATCAAGATGTGTGGTGCGGATGAAACTTACCACCCTCAAGGACTGCGGAGAGCGGTCAGTCACATAGCCTGTGGCAGGCCGGACAGAACTGCTGGGGGTTTTAGGGCCACCTTTCCATGACTGACGCCCTACCTAGCACAGCTGAAAGTCAGCTTATCAAAATCCACCGAGATGTCCACATTATCTTCCTTGCGACCACTTCGGGTTCACAAGGTTGGAGTGGGACAGCGTGAAAGACTATGCAACAAAGAAAGTTTAAGGTCAGAGTAATGACCAGGGAGTGTATTGGGTTCGACAGTAACCCCTCAAAAGATCATGTCCACCCAGGACCTCAGAATGTGACCTCATACAGATTTTACCTTATGAAAAAGTAAGCTCTTTGTAGAATGCAATTAGCTAAGATGAGGTGATACTGGATTAGAGTGGGACCCAAATCCAATGACCTTGTAAGAACGTCATGTGAAGACACAGACACGTAGGGAAGAAGGCCACGTGACAGTGGAGGCAGAAACTGGAGTGACAGAGCTGCAAGCCAAGGAATGACAGAGTGCTAGTGACCACCCAAGGCAAGGCAGTGGCGGTGAGGATTCAGGATTTGAATCCTGACTCTCCCACTTACTGCCTATGGGAAGTTACAAACGTATTTCAGATTCAGTTTCCTCCTCTACACAGTGGTCTACCTCAGGGGATCTGTAGAGAATGGAAGGAGATTCCTAACACTTCCCAGTGCCTGCCAGCAGCACTCACCTATTACAGATGTAAGGAAAAGGCACAAATAGGGAGAAAACAGTGTCCACAGGGCACAAGCACATGGAAAACATGTCTGCTAAGAAGATAAACTATGGCTCTCATTACAATTCAAACACATGGTTGAATACAATGGAATAAGAGTATTTTAAGAAAACCTGACTGTACTCTAGACGGCATTAAAATAGCACTGTCAAAACTCGGCGACTATTTCCTGATAAGACAACTTCTACTGGAAATGCAGTTTGATAATGGTGATATCCTTTTAGCTTTACTGACAAAAATTCCTTGATTTAAGTTCAATCTTAGCCAGTGTTCCTCAGAATTTCTGCTTTTCAATAATACCCACTATAGTTCCTGACCATACTAACAAATTTGTTGAATTTTATTTTCTCTTAGGAAAAAGGAAAGGATCAGACTCACCCCATGTTGCACCACTGTTTCAGGGAAGCGTCTCAAAAGCAGAAGCAGCATTTCTGATCTTTCCAATGTGTTGAAGCATTGCTCCGTAACCTTCAGCAACATTTCACATTGGACCCGGCCGGGAAGAGTTTCAAATAAACCTGTACACGACACATGACATTTTATAAAGTTCCTTTTTAGAAAGAACACTGAAACCAAAGTGGAAGTAAGGTATTTCTACATACAGAACAATACATACTATATAAAGAAACCCTATTGTTGGGTTTCATCTACAACCCAGAAGGCTTTTGGGTCACAGGGTATTGGACACAAGATGTTTGCTGAATGACCAGAAAAGACCTTTGGGGATCCAGATGACAAGAGTGAAATACGTGAAAGGTCACAACAGTGCTTGCTGCTGGCCAAGCTAAAGAACATACACTTGTTTATGTTGAAATGACATAAACCATCTATTTTCTTTTAATCCAGAATTTGAAATTTGTGATTGTATATAGCAACCAACACAGAGTACAGGCTTAAAGAAAGGTCATAAATGATTAAAAGTTTCTCTCTCGTTTTGTGGAGATCTGCCTAATCTATAGATGCTTTCTGATTACTGTAAAACCTGTTAAAAACATCTATTCAGTTCCTTGGGCCAACTGGTACATCCATATCCGTTAAGAAAACTTACAGGATTCTAAGCATATGCTTAAGAGACCAAGTGACATCATTTGTACAGTCTCTAGTTGCCAAGACTAAAATATACATATGGGTATCAATATGACAAATGTGATTTTTTTGTGAAATTACTAGATTTAAGTTGGTATTCCAGAAATGGAAATTTATACACCTTTAAGTTATTACTCCATTCTTACTTCTTAAAAATTGCGTTTGTTTATCCTGTGAATCGTTCCTTAATGCTGATGTAATAATGCTGATTTCTCTCCACACCACCGGCTGATCTGGGAAATTCACAAACCTAGTTTTAAAACGAATGCATTAAATTAAAATGTCAGATTCTCATAGTATCCAACAAAGAAAGTAAGAACATGAGCATTTGGATAAAAACACATTTTTCTTTATCCCAAGTGAATACATAGATATACCAAAACAAATCAAAATAAATGTATAAAAATAAAAACTAATTTAAAAAAATGAAGTACCCACAAAAGTTTTTTAGAGATTTTTATAAGGGAAAATATAAAAAGATAAGTTATCATAATGTATAAAGTACTTATAAATATCAACAAGAAAATAAAGTATCCAAAGAAAAAGTGGGCCAAGGCAAACCACAGAAAAAATACAAATAGCTAAAATGAACATTTGAAAATATACTCAATTTCATTAGTAATACTATAGAAACATATTTTTAAAGATAGCAAAATACCATTTTCTTCTATTACACTTGCAAAAATTCAAATCTGATAAAAAGTCTGACAACATTCATTGTTGTCAAAGGTGTGTGAAAAGTAAATTGGAATAGTAATTTTTGGGGAGAGTAATTTGACAGTTATCAAAATTTTAAATGTGCATACCTCTATGAAAATCCAATGTATTCTATGGCAAACACCAAAACAGGGGCACAAAACTGCCTTTTGACACTATAATTTCAAATAATTGGAAACTACCAATAGGAGAATGGTTATGAAATACTATGCAGATATGAAGAATGGGTGTATCTCTACCCATTAACAGGAAAATGAATCCATTACAGGGGGTGAAAAAGGCAAAATGCAGAATAATTAGTATGATCTTGCTTTTGTAATTCCCTCTCCCCAAAATCTATTATATAAATTGTGTGTGTGTATGTGTATACACACACACACAAAATTTAACTGTGATTGAGTTTAGGGAGGACTTTCATTTTATATTCTGTATATATCAGTATTGTTTTAACTTTTATATAGAGCATGTATTATTTCAAAAATAAAACCAATCCTTGGATAGCAAAGTTTTAAGATAAGAAGACCTCTGCAGAAGGCTTGTCAGCAATTGACAGAAGAACTAGGCTCAAGTCTAAGTAAGCTTTAGGCCCCAGGGATGTAGATGAACTTGAAGCTCTTCCCCCAATGCCCACCTCACAGACAGAAACAAAACCTCAGGAGAGATCCAGTGCAGTAAGAGTTGGAGTCCAGAGTCCCCACTCACATGTCGTACAGCAGTCTCCCCGCCGTGGCAGTCCGCTCCGCGTTCCGCTCGATGGTGTACATTTCATACTGCAACACAGGTCAGACCCCTCGAGTCACCACCTCCGCGGAGGCCAATGTAAGCTCGCCACCGCTACGCTAGTTGGCCTTCACAAAGCACGCCCCCACTCCGCTGAGGGATGGCGTGCCCGAGAGAGTAAAGGTATCACCTGGTGACCTCAGGTTCACTTACAACCCTTTGGTTCCCAGGATTAGTGGAATGTCTTAAAAGTAGCAGGCGCTGGACAAATGGCTGCCATCGCAATGAATGAACGACCGAATGGCCTTTCTTAGTGGCGCTGATGTGCAGTTGGGGCCGCACAGCAGCACAACACTCGCCACACCTTCTACCAGCCCCGACCTCCACCGGGGTTCGCTGGGTCTCCGAGGTGCCGGCCCCCCGGGGAGAAGGCTTGTGAAAGACTTCGGAGAACGGGGCGGGGGGATGTAGAGAGAAGCGGGAAAGGACGGAGCAGGGAGGGTCTGGCAGGAGACGGCCAACCCAAGGTGGCCGGCACTGCGAGGCTCACACCTCCAAGCCAGCACCGTACGTGGGGCCTGACCTTACCTGGATGTTAAAGTCGGTGGGGTAGAGACTGCGGGCCGTGATCAGCCAAGCCTTGGCTGCCCAAAGGTCCTGCTGCACCAGCTCCCGGGCTCGTTGCACCAGGAACTCGCAGTCACCCTGGGCCGACATGGCCCACGAGGTGTCCGGCCGCCGGCCTGAAGTGGCCAAACCTTCGGGCTCGGGAGACGCCGCCACCACCACTGCAGCCGCATCCACTACCTCTGCCGCCTCCGCGACGGTTACTGCGCATGTCTGGGGGGTCACACGAACGCCGGCAGAGTGGATCCGGAAGAGTTTTCCAGGTTTTGTGAGCAGCCTCTCTCCGGTCCGCTCTCAGTTACGGCCAAGTTCCTTCGTTCCTCCTGCGGAGCTAGTATTTTTGTGCTTATTTTCTCAGGTCACCTCCAAAATCTGGAGAAGTGGATTTTTCACTCTGGTAGCTTTCACAAGACCTTGGTCAAACCAAAGAGCATGCGCAGGAGTCCGCGGGAGCTGGGCTACAGTTCCCGGGGCTTGAAACTTAGGTGCGCGTGGCAGGTTTCCGAAGGCGCGGGGCTGACGGGTACTCCCAGGTGGTGGGAGGTCTCTGGGTTTCCCCCGGGGCTTGGCTTCCGGGGCTAGGCTGGGAAGAAGTTTGAGAGGGAAAAGCAGAGGGCAGTCTGGAGGCGGCGGGAAGGATCTCCGGGTTGAGGCACCAGCCGCTGGGTCACTGCCCGGGAGTAAATTTACGGGTGAAATGTAGGGCCCCGGTACGGCGTGCTCGGTACAAGGGAGAATGCGTTTGGTCTGGTGCCTCGTATCTTTTCTGAGTATGCCCTCATTTTATTGTTGCGCGTTTATTCGCTGGTTTTCCCAACAGACGTTTATCGAGCAGTTGCAGTAGTAATTGATACCTCCCAAAATTGCTCCATCCTGCAGGAGCTACAGAAGTAGTTGTACCTGGCCCAGCAAGGGTTGTACAATGTTATTGACGTGTGACCTTCAAAAGAATACGTTCTTTTAAGTATTTCCTCCAACCAGAACCAATGTCGTTTTCACAAAAACTCCAGAGTGTTTTTTACCGGAAGGAAGGGAAACGACGAAATCATCTTCGTGCTCTGGTGAAGTGAGGCCTCACTTAAGAGCCAGAGGAAGCAGGGCTTGTTTGCCCAATAGGAAGACTGTACGAAAACGTGGGTTCTGAATAGTCCATTAGAATTTCCAATCCAAGTTCTGTAGACAGAAATTTTAGAAATTCTATTACCACTGATAGGTTCCATTTAAAACCAAGAGATTAAGGATGCAAAGCTGATTGATGTTTAAAAAGGAAATTACTATATAATACTTATATACATGATAATTATAGATTTTTAAAATAAATGTAAACATATACCATTACTATGGCATATACAATATACCATGTAAAGTGTAATATATACTAATTTATAAATAATCTTAAAGTTAGTGCTGAGTTCGTGTGCAACATTTATTCATTTGTTTTCGTGTGCTAGTTTTAGAGTAACAAGAAGGCCCAGCACCAAGGAACATAATGTAAAGTGCTATTAAATCAGTAATGATTTGAAAGTTGCCATCAAATCAGTAATGTCCATGCTCTTTTGCTTATTATTTCACGCTAAAAATGGCAACATTAAATATCTTTTTTTAATTTTAATTAATTTTATTTAGTTATTTTTCAAGTACAGTTTTTTGTCTATTTCTCCCATCCCAGCCTCCCCCGCCCCTTGCTCCCCACCTCCCTCCCATTTCCACCCCCCTTAGTTCTCGTCCCTGTGTCCTTCCTATTTGTTTCTCCAAATCCCTCTCCCTTTTCCCCTTTAACTTCCCTTCCTACTCCCCTCTGGTCACTGTCCCCTTGTTCTCTATTTTAGTGTCTTTGTTTTTTTCTTTTTTTTCTACTTGCTTGTTTGTTTTGTTGTTTAGCTTCCTGTTAAAGGTGAGATCATATGGTATTTGTCTTTCAGCACCTGGCCTATTTCACTCAGCATAATGCTTTCCAGTTTCATCCATGTTGTTGCAAAAGGTAGTAGCTCCTTCTTTCTCTCTGCAACATAGAATTCCATTGTGTATATGTATCACAATTTTTTGATCCATTCATTTACTGATGGGCACCTAGGTTGCTTCCAACTCTTGGCTATTGTAAATTGTGCTGCTATGAACATTGTGGTGCATAGGTAAATATGTTTACCTTTACTCAAAATTTAAAAAAATTTGATTTTGTTTGATAGGTATCCTCAATGATACTTTTAGGTAAGATTTGCTGCATCTACCTCAGTCATTCTGTGGTTTAGCGACTGTATTAGCATTCAGGGAAGCATGTTTCCA